ATACCTATTTTATGAATCCTAAACCTACATAAATTTAAGCTTTTCATTTTCCAAATGAAAAATAAGTATACAATATTCTACAGTAAAATTTCCAAATATATACGAGGATAGCTGCTTTAGAAACTTTTTTGACTTAATCAAACTTTAAGACTTTCTTCGATAACTCAAATTAAGAAAAACATAAATCTTATGAGGTCAGTCTTTAGTATTCAATTTCCTTACAAGCCAGTAAGTTAAATGTGACATGAATATTTCAGAAAATCTGATATTACTGAGGTAATAATGGCTTTACTGTACACCCACTGTGACCCAGAGATTTCATACATTTTGTTTCTATTCCTCACAAAAATGCTGAAAAGTAGATACTATTGTCTACATTCTACAGATGAGAAATTGCAACGTAGGCTGAAGAGACTTGCCTAGCAGCAGGAGGCCGTGAAGGGTCTGAAGGAGAATTCAATTCCTGGTCTCTGTTTCTGCTGTGACGCCGCCTTCCCACAGTGCTTGCTGCCTGTTAGTAACGCTGCATGTCAGAGTTTTGCTTAGAGCGTGTTGGCAGCTACACAGATCAACACATAAAATACGGGATTTGGAGTACATTTATTTATGTATCTGTACAATTTTAATTCTTTCACATCTCCTTCCTTCTCTAATTGGTCCTATTTGCATAAAAGAGATAATTTCCTCCTTAAACTTCGCAACATGTACTGAAGAGTAGCTCACTCATTTGTAAAATTCAACAGTTCTCTCAGGAGCTCTGGCTCAGGTCAGCCCTCTCTCTCTCTCTCTCTCTCTTTCTCTCTCACTCACTCACTCACTCTCTCCCTGTCTTCCCCTTCCAACTCACAGATATAAAGGTTAATATCAAATGGAGGTCTATGCCAAATTACTGACAGTTTATTCTGGAAAACAACTTTCTTATCTAAGGGTGTGTTTAATATTAGGCATTTTAGTGTGTACTGAGACTGTATTTCCTGAAAACAAAAGCAAGATCTATGATGTTATTCTGTAGGTCAGAAATCAAAATGTGGAATACATTGCATGTAAAATTTAATGTTACTGTTGGAAGTAGATTTTTACTGTTTCTTCCTAAATTACAGTACATACAACTGTGAAAAATAACCGATTAACACTAATGATTTTTGTCTCTAGCTGATGAGATGGATTATCAGCGAAATCTATGCAGTGTGGAAGATATTCAATGGAGGGATTATGAGCAACTATTTTAAAGGGACTTCAGGAGAACCTCCTCTTCTCCTCTGGAAGCCCTGGGAACACATATATTCTCTATGCAAGGCTGTGAAGGGCCATATGCCGTTGTTCAATAGCTATGGCAAGTATGTTGTGAAACTTTACTGGATGGTAAGTAAGTTCAAGTTCATTTGCATGAAAATTCATGTGTCTTTCATATTGCAATATATTTGCCGTTCACACCGTTACCTGGGCTAGTACAGGATAATTCAGTTTATACAGGATGTCAATCGTGTAGCTGCTGGGGGATACTGCCCTGCATATGTAATTTGTGAGCAATAAGAAACACAGTAGCTCCTCCCGTGACGCCAGTCCCACGTGCTTTGTAAACTGGTGCTGCCTGGACTCCTGAGGCATGACCACTCTGTGCAGACGCTGGTCCTGCCGCTGCTTCTGCACTGCCAGGCTGAGGCCAGCTGGGCAGGCAGGTGGATGCACAGGGCTTCCCCGTCCCTCTTCCCTCTGTGATATAGTGTCAGCATCACCGGCAGGTGGCAATGCTAGCAGCGCATCATCCAATTCTTCTCTCCTGGCCTTTGCTGCAGCTAAGGGGCCTGAGCCCATCAGTTCTGTGTCCTAAACTTGAGATTTGTTTTCACTTTAAGAAATCTTACTTTGAGGCAGAAAGATTTTACCTCTGCCTAAAACAGAAGCAAATGGGAGAGTAGGAAATGCAAATAGGGAATCCAACCTCGCTTTTGAATATGGCAAAGTAGACTCACACCACATTTAACAATGCTAGATCATATCAAACTCCTTTGGCTTTTACTGGTCCTAGTCACTGGGAAAGAATGTTCTTCCTGAACATTTGAAGGAATGGGAAGAGTATAACAAGTTAAAAATTCCATTATGTATTTCTCAGACTATGACTTTTTCCTTAATGGGCCTGAGCCATCTATTTTCCTGGGGTGAGGAATGTTGAAGGGCCAGTAATTAGAAGTTATTACAATCATCGCAATGGGAAGGGAAAGAGAAAGAAGGTGATATAGCCTCTAATATCTAAAATAGGATTTTGTTTTTTAAAAATTCAAATCAAGACAAATAACCTCGACGCCTTGTTAGGAGAGAAAACAAAAAAGCACTTTTATCTTCTTTAGTTACCAACAGACTAGACTTTAGGGTTTTAAATGTGTGCAGAGGAGTGAGCCGGAGGGTGTGGCATAAAGAAAGGAGAAAACCCAGCGGATGGTGTCGAGGTGTTGTAGAAAGAAGGTGAACACAGGAAGAGTGGGAGGGAGGTCAAAAGTATTATATTTCAAAACATTGAAGCAACCCTGGTAGTTTCTCTGTCTCTTTTTCTCTCCCTTCCCCCCCTTCTCCCCTCTTCCTGACACATCCTTCTTTCTTTTCAAATTTCCCTCTGGATAAGGGCAAACATTTACTAACACAAGGTTCTGTTTTGCAAAGAAAATGTGACTTACTTATCCTTAACTCTACTGATTCCTCACAAGCCCAAAAACACTTGATTCAGATTTTTTTTTTTAAATGCATTTAGTCCACTTTGGGAATCTCAGTCTGATCCAATTATTTAGCCCATGTCTTTAGATCAATTAGCCTTTAGGGAAGAGTGTGGTCAGAGACCAGACCCCAAGTCTCATGGCTTCCTCTGGTTCCCCATTGGTCTCACCTGAGGACTGATTTGTGAGGATGCTGTTCAGCAGGCGAGCACTGAGATACAACAGGTCCTATAGGAATTATTTTGGTAGGCGTGTGATAGATTTGCAACTGTCTGGTTTTCTGGTTGGTAGAAATCTGTTCTCTCTGGGCTAAGGGCAGAAATTTCTATGTCTTTCTATATATATTTTGCTAATTTTATATTGATAGACATTTAGGTTATGACCAGTGTTTTACCAAACAAACAATGTTGAAAAATAAGATCTTTGTGAATATATTTTTTGTCCATTAATATGGATTTTTTTCTAGGATTTCTATGTATGCCAACCTACATTCAAATTCCTAATTTTGATAAGTATATTCAAGTTACTCTTGTATTTTAATTTGTGTGTAAATACCATTTATATTTGATATATTGGGATTTAAGTCTGTAATTTTATTATTGAAGTCTATAATCTGTTATCAAGTCTATCATATTTTACATTAATTTTTATTTATTGTATTCTTTACCTCTTTTCCTATATTCCTGCATATTTATTGAACATTCTTTAGAATTTCATTTTGATTTATCTATCTTTTGA